AACTAGCAATACATTACCATATACTACAAGATAATATAGGCATGCACTGATCAACAATTCACAAATCGAAAGAAGAAAGTCCAGCAAGGTCCAACATCAACGATACCATTCACATATGCATTTGGTCCATCAAATTGTCTCAAGTCTCTCTCAACAAGGACGATTCAGAAGGACCATTACTGTATTGTCTTCTCCTAATTCTCATTCTTTGTATTATCTTTCCACCCATTTCTTGTATCGGGTCAGTAAATCTCAATGAATGTGATTTACTCTGCATCTCAGTTTTTGCAGGTCAAAATCAAACCTGTGTGCTAGCCAATAATCAAATTTTGCTATCCTACTAAATTAATCACATAAGTCAAGTCTCGTACATTGTCACATAAACAATAAAGGGGCCCTAACGAGCAGGGTGGTCCAACTTTTTCTTTTGACAACGAATATGACATGCCAACGTTCTAATTAATTTACCAATAGCAGATAGAAATAGATCAATATGGTCTTACAGACATACTCCCTCCGTCCGGAAATACTTGTCATAGAAATGGATGTATCTAGACATATTTTAGTTCTGGATACATTTACTTTTATCCATTTGTGGACAAGTAATTCCGGACAGAGGGAGTACTAAAATTCTCAATTGCGTAAGAGAAGCCTACATAATACATACCTTAAGAAGTTCAAGAAAGACTGTGTGGCATTGTTAATTTGTAAAGAGTGGCATTGTTAGAGTAACATGTTAGAGTGGCAAACAATCAGACAAGTCATTAATTTGTCACTAATCAGGTGTTCATGTACTGGGTAGCAAAATTATGTGTATGTATTCACAGGACTGTGTGTGCATGTACTGGATAGCAAGTCCTGTTGTTCAGTTAACGCAACAATAGACTTGACTCTTCCACCTGATTGATGCAATAGACAACAAAGAGCAAACCCTAAATCAGAAATTGGGGAATGGGCAGTGCCACAGTGGACAACTTACCTTCAGTCCTCAAATCGAGCTCAAGGCTTACTGCCGGCCGAGTGCCGGAATCGGTGGAGGGCGGACTGGGCGGTTGCAGGGGCGCTAGGGAAGCGCAGTAGCGCCGAGCGCTGGGCGGGCGGGGCGGCTCCTGGGCGTCTAGCGATGACGAGGCAGACAGCGACGGCTGACGGCGTCCGGCGAGACAGCCAGCGAGATCGGGAGCCGAGCCGCCGAGGTCGGGGACGCACAAGGGCTCGGCGCGTCTGTCCCAGTGTCCCCTAGGTGCGTTTTCCCCCCTTGAGAACAGGTTTTTTTTTGAGACAATCTTGAGAATCAGGTGCATTGTTTGTTGGGCTAGACGGGTCGGGACGAGTTTTGTTGGGCTTTTCTTTCTTAGTCTCATCTGTAATTTCCTGTCGTATATGGCCGGTCTAAAATCCCACAGCCCACCCTGTCGACCTTGCAGATCCACTTGCAAATGTGTCACTACGGTTGAAGCTTTAGCCTGCCGAGAGGCCATGGCCCTGCCATCTGACCTGTTACAAACAAGCACCATTGTTGCATCAAACTGTAAAGGTGTCGGGTCAAACATAAAGGATGGGACGGGCAAAAAACATGGTCATATCATCCGGGAGATAAAGATTATGGCATAGGAATTCCAAGAATGCTCTTTCCTTTTTGAAGGAAGAGCATCGAATTTGGAGGCACATAGCATCACCATGGATTTCGAGTCGAACGACTAGTCGTCGACTAGTTGATGAGTCATTACATGAAGGTCGACTCAACCTGTCGACTCGAATCATTGGATGAGTTGAACGACTCGGTCGACTAGTCTCGACTAGTCGCGGTTTGTGAGTCGAGCGACTCGATCGATCTGTCATGTAAGAGGAGACTGGTAGAGGAATTGGAGCAGGGAAGGAAGGGCGGTTCTAGGGAAGGAGGGGGGAGGCAGAGAGGGAGGGGCGGAGGCAGAGAAGCCATGAAGGAGGAGCTGCAGCAAGGCCATTGCGGCTGTTGATTTGTGCCTGGAGGCTGGACCTGGAAGGGAGCAGGTGAGAGAAAGAGGTAAAAGAGAGTAGATGGACGGTGAAGATTAGAGCATATAGATGGTTGAAAGAACATGCGGTGCCCCCATGTTTGGTTTTGGTAATTGATGACAATCTCTATGGACTAATGGTTGCCTTGAGTTATATTTGAAGGTTTTTGTCCATAGGCTTTTCTTGGAGTACATGTGTTGGTTTCAAGGAGAGTTTGTGTCGACCAAGGTGCTATTCAAGGAATTACCTAAAGATTGGTCTTGTGAGAGGTTGATCAAGACTAAGTCAAAGAGTGAATCAAATTGACCAACCCACAAAGCATAGAAGATGTACCAAGAGGGATCAAGTGATCCCATGGTATGGTAAGGGATCAAGTGATCCCATGGTATGGTAAGCATTGTCAATTACGCTTCGTGTACTAACCCATGGTCTTCGTGAGGGTTCTTTGTGGGGTTAGGTTGCGGTGTGCAAGTTCAAGTGGAGCATCACGAAGAGATCAAATGCTTGAAGCTTGCCGTCCTTTGTGGTGACAATGGACTTGTGAAGATGTGCGGAAGAGTGGCTCACCCATAGTGGAGTATGGGGGAGCAATCAACTAGTCTTCATCAAGTCAACCCAATCAAGAAAGGTGGTCCAACTTGAGGGAGTCAAGATCGTCTTCATCTAGCTCAAGTGGACCATGTGCAAGGCAAAGGTTTGCCCTTGATAGGTTTTCTATTTTACCGGTCTCATGATGGTAGTTGGGAGACTGGGTTATAGGATCGATTGCCGTACTATCAAGGGGGGCTCTCGATGAGTAGCTTGATCGTATCGTTCGCTGAGAGCTCAAACCATTGCATCCTTGCATCATCTTTCTTGGTTCTTGTTTGGTTCTCTTTGAGAGTCTTAGAGCTTTTGGTCATCTTGATGACAAGCTAGAGTTCATCGAAAACGGAGTTCGCTTGCATACTCTATGATGTTTTCGTTGTTGGAGGTTTTGCCGGTTCTTCTCGGTTGGAGGTTTCACTCCTCTATTTGTTGGCATACCTCCCCTGCCTCTTCTTTCTATAACCAGTCGTTGTTTTGATGCTACTCGTCGTCTTGTTTCCAACAAGCTTGAGTTTGCTCAATTTGGAGCTCGTATGCAAAAGTTATGGCAGCTCTTGTTCTCTTGAGTGTGGTTTTGTCATGGTCCGCGTTGGAAAGGTTTGGGTGGTTTCTTCACGTACACGTCTCCTTCTTTTCCCCTCCTTCCTTGGAGCTTCCTCCGTTTTCTTGCCTCCCTTGTGTGGCTGCCGTTGTTGGCTGCGGTAGTACTGCTCCCAGGAAAGCGGTAGTACCGTAGGCATCAGCGGTAGTACCGTGCAGTGGCACGGTAGTACCGCAGGTGCCCACGGTAGTACCGCTCCCCTAGAGCCGCACTACCGCTGCCCACCAGGCTAGTGCCGCCCCTTTGCGGTAGTCGGAGCGGATGTAATTTTTTACATCCGCACCTACCGCGATAGTACCGCTTTCGCCGTGCGGTAGTACCGCCCCTCGGCAGTACTACTGTGTTGAGTTTTTGCTACTTCCGTTTCTTTGCAGAAGTAAGCACGGAAGTTTCCCTTTTCCCCTGGCTGGGACTTTTGCCTCGCGGTAGTACCGCATGGGGGGCGCGGTAGTACCGCGCGTGCGGAAGTTCCGCCCCCAGCTCCTGTGCGTCTGTTTATCGGTTCTGTGCTGGGGTTGCGGCAGTACCGTGGGTCGGTACGGTAGTACCGCACCGCCGTGCGGTAGTACCGCTTGGATGCAAGCAGTAGTACCGCGCGGCCTTGCGGTAGTACCGCTGGCCAGGCGCGATAGTACCGCTGGCCGCGGGCTGGTTGGTGGGTAACGGTTGGATTTTTCCCCACCTATAAAAGGGGGTCTTCTTCCCCAATGAACCTCATCCTTTTAGCTCGTGTTCTTCCCCCCTTGTTGACCTTCTTCGAGCTTTCTAACTCTCAATCCCTCCAATGATTCTTGCTAGTTCTTGAGGGAAAAGAGAGAGGAGATCTAGATCCACGTTTCCACCAATCACTTTCTCCTCTTTGTGAGGGGAACCCCTTGGATCTAGATCTTGGAGTTCTTGGTGTTCTCCTTCTTGTTCTTCCTCTCATTTTCCTCCCTAGCACTAGTTGCTTTCGTAGGATTTGAGAGAGAAGGACTTGGGCACTCCGTGTGCCCTTGCCATTGCATTTGGTGCATCGGGAGTTCTCCACGGTGATACGTGGAAGTTACAAGTTGAGAAGCTTATTACTCTTGGGTACTTGGTACCCTTGAGCTTGTTCCTCTTGGGTGCTTGGGCGCCCTAGACGGTTGGTGGTGTTCGGAGCTCAATCATTGTGGTGTAAAGCTCCGGGCAAGCTTCAGGGTCTCCAATTAGGTTGTGGAGATCGCCCCGAGCAATTTGACGGGTACCGGTGACCGCCCCCAAGGGTTGCCAAAGTGTACGGGTTCGGTGACCGCCCCCAAGGGTTGCCATTTGTACGGGTTCGGTGACCGCCCTCAAGGGTCCCTTAGTGGAATCATGGCATCTTGCATTGTGCGAGGGCGTGAGGAGATTACGGTGGCCCTAGTGGCTTCTTGGGGAGCATTGTGCCTCCACACCGCTCCAAACGGAGATTAGCATCCGCAAGGGTGTGAACTTCGGGATACATCATCGTCTCCGCGTGCCTCGGTTATCTCTTACCTGAGCCCTTTACTTATGCACTTTACTTTGTGATAGCCATATTGTTTCTTGTCATATATCTTGCTATCACCTAAGTAGTTTATCTTGCTTAGCATAAGTTGTTGGTGCACATAGGTGAGCCTAGTTGTTTTAGGTTTTGTGCTTGACAAATTAACCGTTAGGTTTATTCCGCATTTGTTCAAGCCTAAACCGTAATTATTTTAAAGCGCCTATTCACCCCCCCCCCTCTAGGCGACATCCACGATCTTTCAATGGTTCAGATTGAGCCAGGCACGCTAGGGTTTCGTTGGGCCTTACTGGGTTAGCAAATGAGTTAGCTAACAATTATACAGAGGAGAAATGAATTACCAAGAGGAAGTGTCATACCCTGTGGTACAACAAATGCATCTTGGCGGCTCAACCTCATTGCATCACGCAAGACTCTTGAGTCAGAAGCTGAACCCTCCCAGCCAGGCAAGACATACATAAATTTCATATTCCAATCAACCACACCAAGCATGTTAGTGCTGATAGCTTGCTTCCTGTTCCTATATCTCCCTTGGTCACACACGGGCACACAAACATCAACATGACACCCATCTAGTGCTCCAAGTGCATTGCCAAACCACTTCCATTTGTAATCATCAGGTGGCTGAGTAGAAGGATCAGGAAGCTTAATGAACTCCCCGGTTAGAGATAGAATCGCTGTTAATACATCGTCAAAGTGGGTAATAATAGTCCATAAGGAGCGCTTGTAAGTGCCACGCAGAATCCTCATTTTGATACCATAGCCAACTACCAACAAGAACAGTGCCACCTTTTCCTCCACGGAAACATAGACACTGTCATGAAGACCAGCCCTCTCACGCAACATGGTGCATAAGTCATGGAAGTTTCTTTTAGTTAAACGCAACTGATCATAGCATGTTACTTCTGCCCCATCATACATTCCTTTTAGCAAATACTTCCGATGAATGTTCTTTTCCTCATCGTCACTAAAACTCCCTAAATCCCTTGGTGCCCTCCTCGTACTAAGATATGCTATCCCAAGAACAAACGATTCAAAGTACAGTTTGGTCAAAACTACCCGTCTCCTCTTTCTTCTTTTGTTCTCCTCGTTTATGTAAGCAACCAAGTCCATGTCAGACATGGTGCAGCTACATTACATTTCACAAATTAGACATTCATGCCTCATTCAATCACACAAGTAAATATACAAAGACATGGTACAACAAGCATTTCAAAAATTATGCTACGGCTAGCTATTAAGGACAAGTCATCAATCAGCCATACGACATAAGCAAGCAAGATACCAATCAGGCATATAAGACAAGCTATCAAAAATTGTTGTACTAATTTATGCTACAACAAGATATCAAAATTTCAGCAAGCATTCAGTCATTTAAGACAGGGCACAACAAGCATTCACTATATAGTCAAATACTGATTCTAGTTCTCTTCACCACATGAATGCATGGCCAAACAAAACTTATTTTTTCCTTACTGATAGCAGAAATTATCTCTGAACATACCTTCAGTTGGTCTACATGGATGTGCCAATCCAAGACAAATAACCTGCAGCAGAGTTAATTTAAGACAGATTAGTATCTTACTATGCAAACATATTGGGGAGGAGGGACGAACTGTGATGGGGAAGAGGGGGAGCGGCCATCAGATCTGAATGGGAGGGAGGGGAGGACATGGGATTAGGGTTGAGTAGGAGAGGGAGAAGGGCGGATGGGGGGTGGTAGATGGACGGAGCTACCGCTGGTACTGATGTTATGTAGGCGAACAAAAAATTGAAGTGCTAATTCTTTGAACGAGAAGTATATGTCGAGGACCTTACTACATAGCCGAAACCAGCATGATAGCAGAGGTAAATAATTACAGGGAACCACAAATTAGTGAGCTACAGGCCCCAGTAGTACCCATACACATGGATGTATTAGTATCGCAGAGAACATGTGCACACAAGAGATCAGATTATTTTTCTAGAAAAGTGCAAGATTGTAGTTATTGGAAGAAGTCGTTTCTACAGGAAAAATATACATGCTCGGCAGTACTGATGTTGTAGAGATATTGAATCAATAATATAAAAGTTTCACTGTTGATGTTGTACGGACAAAGATTAATGGCTGACTGGTGGCCCAGTAGTTAAGATACTGAATCGATACCATTTAAGTGTTAGTGCTGATGTTGTACAGATTAATAACAGAATCCACACATAAATGTATTAAAGGTTCAGAGCAATTCCACATTACTTCAGCACACTCTTGCCAAACGAGACATCTTTCTGAACTTATCTACACCTGAGCTTCTGTACATAGGCTACACAATCAACTTGCCATGTAATATAAACATATAAAGTTCAAGTCAAATTTGATATTATGTAGCTATGTAGCTAAAGAGCAGCTGCAATAGCAAATGTTCAGGATATAAAATGATCCTTCCAACAGGCAGTATATTCCAAGGTACTGATGTTAGGTGGACACTAAAATTTTAAAATACTAATTCTTCGAACAAGAAGTATCATCATGATAGCAGAGGTAAACATTACAGCGGAAACACAAACTAGTGAGCTACAGGCCCAATGAACTACACATACACGGGAATGTATTACTATCTCACAGAGTACACTTGCACGCAAGAGATAATCTTTTTTCTTTTTATAAAAATGCAAGACTGTAGTTAATGGAAGGCAAGTCATTTACCCAATGCCAGCAAGTGTTGTGTTACAAAGAGTTGAGATTTCTACATACAAAAATGCATGCTCGGCAGTGTGCACAGTGAAAACTGTATGCTGCTACTACATTTAACTATGCGCAGAACTCAACCCATAAATTATTACTTGAGCACTAATTGTTATTTTTATTTGAAAAATATTCTAATATGTTGAGCACAGTCACGCACCCACATCCAGTCATCCACACTAGCTAAGCAATATCAATAATATCAACAAATCCACACAGCAGAAGCACCAACGCAAGAGATGACTGGTACTTGAGCAGCAAGCATGCAGCAGCAACCAATCCATAGAGAGGAAGAGGGAGGGAGCGAGCAGGGGAATAACAACCTGGGGGCGAGAAGCTCGCGGTGGAGTGGCTAGGCCGCGAGGTCAGGGAAGGAAATCGCCCAACCTCCATCCGGCCATGGTATTGAGTGCCTCACCTGCGACCAACCAAAGTAGTAGGAAAACACATCAGCCATGGAGATCCATCCATCGATTTAGGGGTGGGATTGGGAACCGGAGAGGCGGTACCGTCCGGGGTTAGCGCCATGGACCACGCGGAAAAGGAAGGGGAGGCCAACCTTGGCGCAGAACAACGCGGAGAAGGAGCCGACCTCTGGCGCTGCTTGGCGGATCCGGAAGCAGCGCTGCAAATCGGGAAGCGCCTCGGCCTGCTCGTTCTGGGGGCCGCCTAGTTTAAGGAGAGAAGGTGAGAGCGGGGGATGGGGGAGAGGTGGGGGCGGTGGCGGTTAGGGAGAGGGGCACCGAGGTTGCCGGTGGTGGCGGCGGACGAGGGAGAGGGAGATGGATAGGATTGAATTGGGGGACGGAGGATGGAGAAGAAGATGGGGGAGCAGTGGTGGTGGAGCCGCTCAACCACCGTTGGGCCATGTGCCTACCGTGCGATTTGAGGGAGTGGACGGTTGTGATACGCGATCCACGAGAAGGGCGGATTGACCAATCAGGATTCAGCATACGCATCACACCGGATACATGCCACATCAGCATGAGCCATCGGTGACGGTCCGACTTAGGTCCACATGGTCTGTCCATGACAGTTTCCATGACAGTCTTTCATTGTCCGTCATGATGGGGCATCATTTCAGTGGCCATTCGCATCCTGTTGATCTGTGACGATTTCTGTGACGACCCGGAGGGACCGGCGCTGTATCTGTGATGGTTTTCAAGAACGTCACCACAAATCCGTCATGGCTTAACAGATTTCTTGTAGTGGGAGAGGGACAATCCAAGGGACGGGTCGCCAGCGGCCATCGGACCTGAAAGGGCTGGGGAGATTGGGGAGGGCAGGGGAGATGAAGCACGAGGAGAAGGCCTACCGGAGCAAGGGGAGAAGGAGGAGGAGGAGCGGGAGATGGAGGAGACCTGCCGGATATGGGAAAAGATGAGGACGGCGGCGGGAGATGAGCACCCACCTGCGTCGCCGCTGTTCTCCCGCGCCGCTTCTCCTGCGGCCTGTCTTCTCTGTTTTCGGGGCAGGAACGGGGAGGGTTGAAGAGGTAAGCGAGCCAGATCGGGTAATTTCAGCCGAAAACAGAGCGGGGAGGCAAGGTATTCGCGCAGGCACTCGCTAGTCTTGGCGCGCTGTGTCCAATATCAGGCTACGATGCCACGACCGAATACCCAGTGCATCCAAACGCTGGCATTCGGGAGTTACAAATGCCAAATCCCAATATTACCTCTCAATCCTTACATCCAAACATAGCGTAAGAGTTTTTCTTTCACAATTTGTTTTTCCAAAATATTTCATCTTTTGAATCGCACATCCAAATGCCGAAACGTTTTTAGCGTTTGATTTCTCGTGTCGAGGTCTTCAAAACTAGATCTCATGTTAATAGATTTCAACGTACTTTTTTAACAAAAAAAACAAAAATATAAAACAAATACATAAAACAAAAAACAATTGGTTTGCGCAAAAAAGAACGAATGCAAAAAACGAAAGAAAAAACTAGAGCCGAAAGTACAATTGTGATTTTCCATTTTTTTAGAAGCACAGGCTGTGTTTTCCCTTTTTTGGATAAGTTCTCGCGGAAGCAAATCTATGCTCCCATGCAAAGCAAATTTGTGCTTTTTGTGGGAACACTTTTTTCCCCGAGAAGCTCAGAGAAGCAAATATGTGCTTCCTATGGAAGCACACTATTTTTTCTGAAAAACTCAGAACAGATCCGTGCTTCTACGATAAGCAAATATGTGCTTCTCATGAAAGCATATTTTTTTCCAGCAGAACAACTATGATTTCACGCAAAGCAAATATGCACTTCTTGTGGAAGCACATGTAAAATTAGTCATCCATGCAATTTTTAGCTTGAAAATTAGGAATGTAGGCAATATCCACAAAAGAAAGGTCAAATTCCAAAACACTTTATATGATTAGTCATCCATGCAATTTTGACAACAAACTAAAAGAAACTATAGAAATTGAAAAGAGCTTCAAAATTGCATGGGAGCCTTTTATGTGCACTACTTTGTGGGAAAAAATTGATAAACTAGCAATACCACAAATAAAAAGTAAAATTTCCTTTTCTAGTGCCCAAGATGACTTTTTTGTCAACAAGAGCCAGAAATAAGATTATAAATTGTGCCATTTCAGTTTTCACCTAAAGCAGATCACATGGGATTCCAGATGCCAAATTTTCATGAATTTCAGTTTTTTTGTATATATCATTGATTTATTGAATTCCTAGCAATTTACATCAAGTAATTCAAATTTGAACTACAAGTGTGCTCTAGTTTTGGTCCTATAAATTCTGGAAAATAATTTTTAGCTTGCACATTAGGAATGTTGGCAGTAGCCACAAAGAAAGGTCAAATTCCAAACCACTTTATATGTTTAGTCATCCATGCAATGTTGATAACAATCTGAAAGAAATGATAGAAAATGAAAAAGCCTCAGAAAATTGAAATCCTGTTGCATGGGAGCCTTTTATGTGCACTAGCTTGTGGAAAAAATGATAAATTGTTAATACCACAATAATAATTTATTTTTCCTTTTTCTAGTGCCCAAGATGACTTTATTTGTGAAGCAAGTGCGAGAAATAAGATTATAAATTCCGCCCTTTCAATTTTCACCTAAAGTAGACCACATGGAATTCCATCTGAGAGTATTGTCTATATTTCATTAATTTATTGAATTTCTAGTGATTTACAACGAGTAATTCAAATTTGAACTACAAGTGTGCTCTAGTTTTGGTCCTATAAATTCTAAAAAATAATTTTTAGCTTGCACATTAGGAATGTTGGCAGTAGCCACAAAGAAATGTCAAATTCCAAACCACTTTATATTATTAGTCATCCATGTAATTTTGACAATAATCTGAAGAAATTATAGAAAATGAAAAAGCCTCAAAAAGTTGAAATCCTTTTGCATGGGAGCCTTTTAGGTGCACTAGCTTGTGGGGGAAAAT